TTAAATATACAGAATGGATTGGATGAAGTTGGAAGTTGTGTCTGACTCACAAGGGGGTGAATATTAGAAGGAAAAGTATGAAGTTTTAAATTTGTATAGGGAGGATGGTTGGGTTAGTTTGTATTTTCTGGTTCACCGTGGAATAATGGAGAGAACATTTTGTTCTTTTGGAACTGCACATACAGAATGAACGCTATGCTGGACTCTCAATGATCATGGTTATCTGAAATAAGGGAGCATTGAGTCTTTGGTCCACATGTGGAGAGGAGATAGCAAGATTTTTGGTATCTGGTTTAAAATGGGTAGATGAACTGGTTATATGTAGTGAGTAGACGGTGGTATGTAAAACTAGTCTGTACTAGAAATGAATACAATCTAGGGCAGTTGGGTTTAAGAGGGTTTCTGGCCTATAAGCAGAGTCTGGAAAGGAATTCAGGGAATAGAGCTAAATTTGCTTTTCATGTGTACATACACTTAAGAGCTTGTGTTAACTGTCAACAGATTTGAATGCTTACCTTCCATCCCTTAATTGTTCATTTTTCCACTCCTAAATGCTTAGAAGGTTTACATACTGCACACAACAGAAAGACAAACTGTTTTAAATGAAAATCTTCACCCTCTCACCCCATGTAAATGCACTCTTAGCTTCTGCTGCTCTTTGGCTGCTTCTGGATGACAAATGATCTAGTAATACCTTACGTTTCAGACTTCAAAGACAAAAGACAGGAAAAAACAACTTGCTCAAAAGAACTGATACTAACCTCTGCCATTTCCTTGGTTGTTTTCCCCAATGTACCAATATTATCTCTGTTTTATCTGGGTTGACCAACTTACTATCATCCAACCTGTATCTTGGATAGATGCTAGAAAAGCCAATTAACCTGGTCCAAGCCTGAAGTACCTCATAAAAAGTTGATCATCTGCATCCTGATGGCACAGCAGTTATGACTAAATATCCTCCCTGTGTTATACATTGAATGGAACACAACACAAAGGAAGCATCAATACAGACAAGTAATTGTCATCTATTACCCTGTAATGGGCTTACCTTTCCGGTGTTGGTGCCTCAGTTTCCCCTCTTCAGCTAGTGGTCTGCAGTCTCCATGGTAGAAGGGGTAATCTGAGGTTTAACCATCCTGCCAAATCTTAGAAAAAATTCTCTCATTTTCAAGTAACAAAGCAGTCTTCCAGCTCTCTCCAGGCTTGGTAATCTTCAACTGCCCTCCATGGACTCAGTAGCCCTTTTTCCTTGTTAACACAAGGATACACACTTACAGTGGTGGTGTTGACAATTCCTTTGCCCATACCCACGGCTAAGCAGCTCCTTACCAAGGACATGAGGCTGCGTGAAGGGAAAGAGGTTGCTTTCACTTTCTGTTGAACCTCCTTCTGAGGCGGCCCTAAATAAGTACAAGTGTTAACTCCGGCCACACTCCCACACCTCCACTGCATTGCTCCAGGTCTCCTCTTTTGCCAGTTTACCCCTCTCCAGGGTTTCTGTCTTTCCACAAAGCTTTACTCACTAGCTTAGTTTCTCTGACTAATCCTTCTCCACGATTCCTGTCCCTCCTATCTAAAGACATCCTTCCCCTCCATCTCTCACTGAGCCCAGATTTCATATGATATAGTTCTGTAATCACCTTTTTTCAGTTACAAGGTTAGTCCCAATAATAGAAGGGCCAGCATGCTGTGTTACATAACCTTAGAGTCTGCTGAGAGCAGAGAGAGAACAAACATCTATCCCTAGTAGGGTTCACAAATGGTCAACAATACCTCACGGTCAAAAAGCACATCAATCAAATGCTGTGTCTGTACTGTAACAACACTGATTTATAAGGTCATGCACATATTTTACTAGCTTTATATAATTAACAAAATGTAAAAACAGTGACAGAAAATTTTCATCAAAATATTAGACAAGAATATGCATGCTTCCAAAATTAAAACTTGAGGTTAAATGTATACAATAGTTTTGAGGCACAGCTTGTTATTTGGGGACTGAAAAGTAATGAAGAGGACAGGTCACAGATACAGAGCCATCTCGATCACTTGATAAGTTGGATGCAAACACACTATGTTTCAGTACAGCCAGATTTAATAAACAAAGAATACAGGCCATAATTACAGGATGGGGCACTCTACCTTGGGAAACGGTGATTCTAAAAAGGGCTGGAGGGTCATGGTGGAGAATTAGATGAACATAAGCTCCCAGTGCAACACTGAGGCCAAAAGGGCTAATGAGATCCTTAGATGTATAAGCAAGGGAATCTTGAGGAGCAGAGAGGGTATATTATCTATATATTTGGCACTGGTGCAATGCTACTGAAATACTGTGCCACACTTCAAGAAGGATATTGATAAGTTAGAAAGGGTTCAGAGAAGAGCCATGATTAAAGGATTGTAAAACATGTCTTATAGTGATAAACATATGGATCTCAATCTATTTAGCCTATCAAAGAGAAGATTAAGGGGTGAGTTGATCACAGTCCACAAATACCTACATGAGGGGAAAAAATAATAGAGGGCTCTTCAAATTCAGCAGATAAAGTTATAACAAGATCCAATGACTGGAAGTTGAAGCTACACAAATTTAGACAAGAAATAAGGAGCAAGTTTTTAAACAGTGAGGGTAAGTTGTTCCAATGGTTAGTTACAAAGGGTTGTGGTGGATTCTCCATCTCTGGAAAGATTTAAATTAAGATTGGACTTTTTTCTAACAAATTTGCTCTGGTTCAAGCAGGAAATAATGTGGATAAATTCTATGGCTTGTGATATGCAAGTGGCCAGATAAGATGATCACAATGGTCCTTCTGGCTTTAAAAATGTACAACTATGTTTCAAGCTCTCAAGTGCTTTTTTCTCTCTCTTCTCCAGGTGGTATTCACTGCTAACGATTCTGGTCATCGTCATTATACTATTGCTGCTCTCATCAGTCCCTTTTCCTACTCAACTACAGCTGTAGTTAGTGATCCAAAGGAATTAGGAACTACACATTAACCATGCAAATTCTCTTACATTGGTCAATTTAAGATTTGTAGATTGATTTCCTATAATGAATGATTCTGCAATAATCAGTCTTATTACTCACATAACATTTTTCATCTTCAAACACTAACTCAGAAGCAAACTGCTATGCAATGGATTTTTATTTAGTGAATGTGTTAACGCTGATAAAGTCAATAAATGTTTCTTCTTAAAAATGTTTTCAGTTACTCTTTCAATTTTTTTTTTTTTGGTTCAGAAGAAACACTGTCTGAGGGTTGTAAAAAACTATACTGAAAATCCACTGCTGATATACTGAAAGAAAACTGAAATCTTCTATATGACCGATAAGCCATAGTCCTTATCACAAAGAACTGTGAGAAAAATAGATCTGTAATGCAAAAAAAGTCTCAAACACAAAATTATGGAACAAGACATATTTACTGAATTATCTTCATTAGTACATTGTTTACTTTTGCCCAGACCCTACCAAAAGAGGCAATAACATGGAGCCCCTGCACAGAGTCCCACTGATTTCCCTGATGTCGCAGTTCTGCAGCTATGCCTACAAAAGACAAAATCAGCCTACAAATGATGACAAGGTTGTATGGCATTCAGGGATAGCTAATATTTATATAATTAAACAGCAAATGCATATTGTAAATAAGAAAAACAGTATACAGGTGTGTATTTTAAAATATCGTCCTTCTCCTTTTGCATGTCACTTGTCATTTAGAACCCAAGTGCTAATGCAAAGATCATTACCTGTTTGTACAGTACATATAAACTTGGCCACAGCTGTGATGGGGGCTCTAACTACTACTGTAATAATAATTAAAAGAAATGAATGACAGATGAGACACTGACACATGAGGAGCTCTATCTGCTCCCAGGTTTAATAATTCCAAGAAGCTTGGGTGAACTCTCTTGATACTGGGGTATTTTCCTGCTACTTATAGCTGTTCAGAATATTTCTAGGACAGCTGTGCTGTTTTATGCTAAGAAGAAGAAACTTGTTAGTTAGAATCCAATCAATATAGTATCTTTGGACAACCATACTTTATTTTTTTCAAGCACTTTCAGATCTAAATAGATGAAAAGTGTTATAAGATCTAAGTATTACTAAATAGTTGTATTTCACTCCAAACATTTCAGCAGGAGATCAAATCTGTTAATTAGCTGAGGTACAACATTTTTAGATTTTGTAACAGTTTTAACAATGTATTGTATTACAATAGCACAGGGGTGGCCAACCTGTGGCTCCGGAGCCACATGCGGCTATTCAGAAGTTAATATGCGACTCCTTGTATAGGTACTGACTCCGGGGCTGGAGCTACAGGCACCAACTTTTCAATGTGCCAGGGGGTGCTCATTGCTCAACCCTCTGCGACAGGCCCTGCCCCCACTCCACCCCTTCCCACTCCCTCTCCTGAGCCTGCCATGCCCTCGCTCCTTCTCCTCCCCCACCAGAGCCTCCTGCATGCCACGAAACAGCTGATCGGGAGGTGTGGGGAGGGAGAGGAAGGCGCTGATCAGCGGGGCTGCTGGTGGGCGGGAAGCGCTGGGAACGGGGGGCAAGAGTTGATGGGGGGCTGCTGACGTATTACTGTGGCTCTTTGGCAATGTACATTGGTAAATTCTGGCTCCTTCTCAGACTCAGGTTGGCCACCCCTGCAATAGCACCTAGACACACCAGAAGTCAGGCTCAAGGCTGCATTATGCTGGGCAAAATTTAAAGAGTGGGTCCTGCCACAAATACTTCTCACCTTATGCTGTCACAATTTTAAAAAGTTAAATTTTTTATAAAATAATTTAACATGCTCTGAAAACATGTTTCAATTTTATCTGTAAAAGGTTTCTACAGGATCAGTCCTTATCAAATAAGAAATTTCCCATCCTGTCAAGCTGTGAGGTCAACGTGGGAGTAATACTGTACCAGACACTTCAACTAATGCTTATTTTTTTCTAAACAGAATTCACTGAAGGAGCCACCTTCCACAGAATACAGTGCCTAGAAGGGGAAAAAAATTAGACAACCACGCAGTCTTTAGAACATTATATTTAAAAAAAGACAATGATAAAAAAGTACAAACATTTTCATGAACAAAACAAAAATAAAAGTATGATAGTACACAGGAAATTGCCAGCAATTGTTTCAGTGCAGTTTTCAATAAGCTTGCCTCAGCTACCTCTAAAACTAAAATCTTAAGTACACTTCCTCTTGCTGATATGCAATGTGTTCTTTTAAATTGTTATAATTGGCTTGTTTGTAATCCACTATAAGACTAATATATTATTTTAAACAGAAGAGTACAAAAATAGACCTAAAAGATCTAAGAATAAACATTTTGCATTTGTTTGTCAATATATTCTTGGTTTCAAGGAGAATACTGTATTTTATATTTTTCTCATTGTAATTTAAAATATGGCAGATGGAAAGGAAATTTAGATGACTGGACTTGAGACACTGTTAGTGTTTTTATAGCATTTCTACCTCTTAATTTGTAAAACCCCTTCAGAATCTCGAAAATATTTTTTCTATGTCTCGTCCTCTGTTGAGGAACAGTCAAATTTGCTGTCTGTCAGGAACCAAAATGCCAGCATGAATTCTTTTCTGTTTTACTAGAATTAAGCATGTTATCAAAAGGAATGTGCATAGCTCTCAGCTCTGCACTTCATTTCTTTTCTTTGAAGGCACTGTTTATGTTAAAGTCTGCTACAGAACAGTACTGGGTTCAGACAGAGTGTACACACATTATTTTGGTGTAATATCAATAATAAGATGGCAGCCTTTAAAACTTCCTGATACTAAAAGGTACGTATCTGGCAAAAGTGATTGGTAAACATCTTTTTTAATGTAAGCTGTGTCAAATTGGGACATAAGTTTGTGTCATGTTAAATTAAAGAAATTACAGTTATGCCTTGTTAACTCATTTATATGTAATTGTGACTATGTATTAAATCACAACATTCTCTCTCAGACAGTACATGATTAATCAACAATTAATCACTTTGCAAAGTTCCAGGACTTTGGCTGAAGCATATTCATGTGTATTTTTTTAAAATGCACCAGGAGATATTAAAAAACCCAAATCAAACATTAATTTCACTGGATATCTTCCACATGCATAACTGAGAAATGGACATGTCAATAAAAGCATGCTGGAGAAACAAGGCACAAACCTAAACTACCTAAAGATGCCTCACAAGCAAAGGTGCTAAAATTGATGGTACTGAATACCAGAAAACACTTCAAAATAAAGTCAGACATTTAAAAACTATTCCTTTTAACAATCCTGAAGGAAATGTGTCCAGCTAATGTGACATATGGATATAAGACCAAATTTACTTTGAGAATATAGCTGCTTATTTAGTATACTAGTTATTGAGTTCACATCTACTCATCTGCCTCTCAAAATATTCAGTATGCTCAAATACAGAAATATATCAAGTAGTAATATAAAAACTCAAGCATGCTTATTTTAAGCGTTTGTTCAGTTTATGCTAATCTTTGTTATTTTTCCTCTATATTAAATAATTTCTATAGAATACTATATTGACTAGATTTAAAGATCATTCCAATACAATATGAAATATCTCCTACAGCCTTTCAACTATGTCAATCAAATCAGTAATTACCATCTTTCTGCAAATTATTGGAATGTCTACAAGTATACTCACAACTTTCATTAAAGAATGGCCAGGGGCACAACTTGCTGCTGGGATGGCCGTAAAAGAAAAGGTGCTAACAGCAAACAAACACCTGCATCCCACCATGTGCTATGGTAAATCCAGGAGGCACACAAATGGGCAGTGAGTTTAGATTGGTGTTTCTTGTCAGCACTCCTGCAGGAACACTATATAATAAATAATTTATCAATACACTGTTTTTTATTCTTCAGGGGAGCAGAAGAAAGTCTTTGGTTCCTAAATCACTGAATGATTGTGACAGTCACAAAATAATCTCATAGATCATCTTGGTCAACATTTAACCGATTTGTGTTGCATTAACAGAGAAAATAAGTGTTTCAGACTACCTCCTTACATCATATTACCTATGGATGTATAAAAATATTAGGCAAAGATAGTGTTTCTGAATGGGATGCTATTAGATAGCATAACAATCCAGGCAAAGCAAAAGGAAAATTAAGATTTATGATGAATAAAAACAGAGAGGCTAGATATTCATGCATTTAATACCACAAAAATAGACAATTATCTGGGATCTATCCTGATCAGTCCTGAGTACCCTCAATTTCACTGCAAGTCATGAAGTTGAGGGTGCTTAGCACTTTACAGGAAGTGCTCAGCACTTCAAAGGATTAGGCCCTTAATATCTATGCTGATTAATATATTATGGGGGAGATTTTCAAAAGCACTCAGCACTGGCTTAATTCTGGTTCCATTGATCCTATCATAATCAATGGAGCAGTTAGGCCAACAGTGTGCTTTTAAAAATCCCACCCTACAAAGGTTAGGAATATATTTTGCTATCAATTCTTTAAAAAATTAACTTTAACATTTGTCTTCCAATGAAGATACATTTTTGGCTCTTCTGATTCTTGAGGAATAAAAGTGCTGTTTACTAGGAATAAAAAAAAAGATACTACCAAACTACAATACACAGACTTGAACACACTGTTTTAGGCATAAAATCCCTGACATTGACACTTGTGGCACATGTGGAGACAATTAAAGTAAGAGTTCCTGTATATCATGATATGCAACAACCTTAAGATTTTTCTAAAATGCACATGCAATATGCATAAACTATGATTTAGATGGCAAGCAGGGAATCATAGGATTTTACTAGTAATAAGTAAAATTAAAAGCGTTCTTCCTAGCAAGCTTACATGTTAAATTAATTCTTCTATACAGATATGCAGCAGGCCTAAAGCTCAAAACTCGTCTAACAGTTTACAGTCATAGCTGGCCATCAATTATTGATAGTTCCATCATTTCATATAAGGTACAAACTTTGTTTAAACACAAATATTTACATTTGTTCTTTCATGCTACTGAACACAGAATGAAAACAGTAATATACCTAAATACTTACTGAAGCATAATTTACCATATTTAAAAAGCTATTTGAGCACATTAATTTACATCACATATTTACAAAACACATTTTAAAGAGGAAACAAAAAGCATTCATTTAAGTTACGGTTTTTAACTATAAAAATTTCCTGGGAGAAAAGGCCTCTCTCTTGGCTTCCAAACAAGCTACAGATCTGTTTTCTGCAGTATATATAGTTGAGTGGCTTAAGATAGAGAATATGGTGAAACAAGGCTTGAATATAGTAGTCCATGCTGTAAACGTTGAGTAGTAGCTGCTGGCATTTCTTTTCATAATAGAATGCATGGTAACACATGCAGTCATTTTTCTTCTCTTCCCAAACATCCTTCATCAAATAGTCAAAAAGACCTAATTTAAGGTCTTTTAATATGTCTTTAATTTGTATTTTCCAGTGTTACAAGTTTGAACTCCAGGAGTGTAGCTTGCCACCCCACTTCCATCAATAGTCTTTAACAGGAGCTAGCTCTGGTATGAGGTTTACAGTTATATTTTTATAAAATCTACTGATGAGTATTTTAGGAGTATATATTAAATTGTTCAACCCATCAATGTACTGACGCTCTCTGGAATACCTCAGGAGTTTATATCTGTAGGGTAAGGGGAGAAGGAACAAGGAAAAAGGTTTGTAAAGAAACATGTTAAATTGGTATCAACTGTGTTATTGTAATTAAAGACGGGTCATCATTTATTTTGAAACCCCTATTTTACAAAAACTCACTCTGGGAGCACTTTGTTTATACTAATTACAAACATCAGCTTTAAATGCATGAATTTTTGCAGTTTTATAAATTAGATGGACATTCAAGTACTGTTCATATTCCTAGACAAACTACATTGAGATTAACTACACAGCCAACAAATGATTGTGATTAATGCATATTAGTGTTTGTGGTCCCAAATTAGGAATGTCTATATTGCAACTACACACCTGCAGCTGGCCCATGCCAGCCGAGTTGGGCTTGCGGGGCTTAGGCTGTGGGGCTGTTAAATAGGGATGTAGACTTTCAGGCTTAGGCTGCAGCCTGAGCTCTGGGACCCTCCCATCTTGTGGAGTCCTAGAGCCCAATCGGAGGTGTCTAAACTGCAATTCAACAGCCCTGCAGCCTGAGCACCGTAAGCCTGAATCAGCTGGCTTGACTCAGTCGCAGGTTTTTAATTGCAGTGTAGACATACCCTTAGTGATCCCTCTGTATTCCTGCCTCAGCTCCCAAGGCAGTGCTGCCTCACTATGAAGCATGGCCAAGCCAGTAGTGCCACAGGGAGCCTTTTAAACACTGATGCTCGCTCTAGCATACAGCCACCACATAACTTCAAAGGAGCAGTGACAGCAAGTGCCAACTAACTGACCAAAGACAACTCCTGATACATGGGTTCAGTTTCTCTCATGACACTAAAACTAATTTTCATGTTATGATTCTGTTCATTTTATTGAGTCAGAGAGACAGTGATTGCTTGGATTTTTTAATGCCACAAGAGCCCCCAACTAATAGTGACATGGGCTGTTTACTTAGATTTATCTATGGTCTATAATCATATATATTAATCATTAGCCTAGTTTAATTACAACCTAGTATCTTGAAGTGTTCCTTACGCACAAAATGTCAATGATTTTTAATAATATGGAATATTTGAATAGAGTGTTATTTCATTGTTCAGATTATTAGGGATAATAAAATTTGACACACTGCGCTAAATTTCTTAAAGAACCCATTTTAAATTAATTTTAACTCACTATTCAACAGATATATTTGTACATTCTCCTAAAAAATAATTCAGTACTCAGAGAAAGTACAGAAATGTTGGTAAGGATACACAGTATTTTTCATATATAAGAGGGTGGGAAAAAAATCACTGTTTTATGTGCAAAAAACTCAACTCAACCTTAACTATGGAGCCATAATTAGCGTTTCCATAATAAACCATGGAACGCTCTTTATGTATATATTCTCCAGAAGCTCAAAAACCACATCTCTTGTACTTCCACCTATACAAATAAGTTCATGTTACTGATCACTGAGACACATTGTCAATTTAATCAGGCCTTTGCCAGCAATTTTTTAAGCTGTTATTATAAGAAAGATATCAGACTGCTATAACAAACAGGTTAGAGGAGAGTATTTTCTTTTCAGTTTACTTTCTTTGTTCACTGTACTTTGTGAAGTCAGCTTTGTTGTTTCCCTTATGTAGTCAGTATCCCCCGTTGTGTGAGTACCACACATTAACAGTGGGCTGGTGGGGGGCGGGGGGTAGGGGGGTGGGAAGAGAGAGAGAGACAAAAACTAAAAACAAAACCAAACAGGAAAATGTTATTGTAAAACCACAGAAATCAGCAGGACCTCCCACAGTAGATCTCTCACCTGAGTTTAGCAATTTTAAATAAACTAGATTTGAAGTTTATATGTCCCTTGAAAAATGGAATGTATCAAAATAAAAGCCAGTATAGCACCTTACAAAAGGCTCAGAAGTTTATTAATAGTTCTACACCATTGTGTGTGTGTTTGTGTGAGAATATGCTCCAGATAAAATCTTTGGTATTCCTTAGGTTTTAATGTTTGAACACACTGCCCTTTTTCTTACCGTCCTAAAAATTGGACTTCACCTCTGTGATGATGAGGAATGGACTTGTACTTCCCTAGGTCTCCCTCTGGTCTTGTTACATTGTATCCAGCATAATGAACCCTACAGTACAATAGTTAAAGATAAGTGTATGAACAAAAATGAATGTATAAAAAAAAAATTTAGTGACTTACAGCAAAAGTGAAAAAATCGGATTAGTGTTCGGATCTTAAGCTTACTCTTCTATGACCTTTGTTTACTGTTTTTAATTTAAACAAACAGTGCTATATATACAGTGACAAACAGCAACCAGGCCCCTGTCCCAAGCACTTTCCAACCTACTTCACACAGCAAAGTCAGAGATGACAGACTGGGAGCATATAGAAATGATGAGGGTTACAAGAGTAGAAACATGGGATATGCTTTTGTTACATAAGACTGTTCCTTTTAGACCTACATAGCTGTTAGTTTACATATAATTTAATCATAAAAATTAACAAATTAATAAAAATAACTTTTTAAAAGTTTGTTTACGGTGGTGTTTTTATATAGTCAATTTCACTGTTCTGTTGATGGTCAACTACAACTCTGTGTCATAGGATAGCATGATGTCACTCATACACTGCTCTTGGACATGGAAGCAACTTATGTGCAAGCTTTTCCCCACACACTGTAAGAAGGTTTTTAGTAGCAACAGCAAAACTGGTGGGGGGGAAAAGCACATGCACAGAGAAAAAGGAGAGAGGAGCCCAAATATGCTTGGTGTTATGCCTAATAGGGAGACATCTCTTTAAGAGACTCGGGGGGGGGGGGGGGGGGGGGGGGGGGGAAGGAAGGAAGGAATGGTGTCCGGGTCATTGTTGCTAGGCAGATGTACAATCAGCATTCATGTCCAGAACTTTCAGGAACTTGGTATGGTAGTTTGGGGCATGCCCAATAGGCTTCCTGTAGCTGGACAAAAACTCCACCGAGTCAGGGCAAGTAGTCAAGGTAGCTGTGTGGTGGCTGAAAGAAGCTCAGCCATAGTAACGGAAAGCAAGCTGTTTTTCCCCCAACTCTGAAGCATTTTGCAGCAGGTTGGGTGATAGTGTTAACTTTCCAACTGGGAACCAGCAGTGTTAGTTATAGGAGAAATTTGGAAGGAAAACTTAATTTTTAATTGTATACCTTGAATGTTATTTTAGTCAAATTGTCTTAATTGGCATGGTTCACAAACTCTTTCCTCATTTAAATGTGCTGACAGGGAAAGAGTCATATATATTTTCCTATTATTGCAGTGCTTTTGACTCATGAGACTATATGGAGTTGATAAACAGGACTGTAACTAAGACTCAAGTGAATTCAACCTAAGCTTTTGGACCTCTCAGGTACATCTCACTGTCTTTCTGTGGGGCTAACCTTTTAGATTTAATTTTTGTATATATATTTATGTATAACTATGAAGATAATGCATGTGGATTATGAAGTAAACTGGTCATTTAGTAGAAATTAAGATATTGTTTCTTTATCATTATAAATTTTTATAAAGTTGATACTAAAGAATTAAGCTAATTTCTCTTCTTCTTTTTGGACTTGATTGTGTGGGAGAGGTTGACCCTGTGCAAACCTTGCTGAAAATCCTCAAGGAATAAATTCTGGGTCTCCATGTGCTTTTCTATAGGAGTTGTGTTGAAGCACTAGGAAAGGGACAATACATTTTAGCCCACCCAAAGGTTACACTACTAGGCACACCCAAAAAAGCCTTTTAAACATCAGCAAACCAAGCAGAAAACCCCTCGTATATTTTTTTTAAAAATTTCAGAACATATTATTTAAGGGGAGCTATATTAGAAACCATGATTTTGCAATCTGAAAACTTCAAAAAAATCTAATTAGCAGTGCTCCATTTAATTACAGTTCTTTTAAAAAAATAGCTAATATCGTCACCTGGCTCTCCCCAGCACACATTGTACATCCACCGAGGGAGAGATATTCAAAGGTAGGAAGAACAAGTAGGTACCCACATTCCTTTGAAAGGAAATGGGAGCTGGGCACTTTAGGCACTTCTGAAAGTCTGTCCCCTGGAGTTTAAGCTTTTCAGGGCAGAGACTGTGTCTTTCTTTATAAAGCAAACCAAGTACACTGTCAGTGCAATAATAATGAATACACACCTTTTAATTTAACATAACAAAAAACACACTATAAAGAGTCAATAAACTCAAATAAGCCTTCTGCAAACTTTTCTTAACTTAGATATTTTAATAGCGAAAAAATTTGAACGTCACTGTTCAGGAACTCATGTCTTACACAATGTACTATAAACACTCACCTATTCCAAAGATCGTCATCTTCTCCTCCCCATCCCCAGAAAGCATTTGGAAATCCATTGATCTTTTTGAATTGTTCCACTGTCAGGCCACTTACACCACCAAAGAACTCATTGTATGGAAGACTGAAAATGATAGCAAGTAAGTTTTATTCTATTGATTGAATTCAGAGAAGTAAAAATCCTGTTTGAACAACTGCTTCCATATCTTGCAGGAAAAAAAATCTAGTGTATGTGTAGATGTTCAATATACCTATTAGGAAAAATGCTTTACAGATCTCTTATAATGAAAGTTGGTATTAGCAAAGAATGTGGAAACTAAATATTTGTAATAAGGGCTTTCATTTGCGGAACAGAAAACAGCAGGCAAGTATCCCATGAAACAGCAGCTTAACCCAGGCTTCAGGTAGCCAGTTTTAGAAAAAAGACCAATTTACAGCTGAAGGGACTGTAAAACAAAGCTTTCAAAATGTGGTATTTTGACACTATTGAGTTGAAAAAGTTCTCTTCACCGGAGTCAGCAGTAAAAGCTCTGATATGTCAGTAATATTTCCAGTCCATTAATGTATTCTACAAAACAGGGAAAACTGATAAAAAATAAAGCAGTTTAACACCTTATATTAGCCTATTCTGAAGTATTTTTAAAAGTAATGGAAATTCCTCCCTTGTTTCAGTTTTTAGAGAGCATAGCTAAGCACGTTCAAAATTATTTTAATCCTTTTTGCACCAAGAGAATATTTCTCTTGACAATAAATGCATGTTGACTACCATTACACAAGTGTTAAGTAATAAACAGCTGCCCAACCTGTACAGCCACTACAGCTACAGAGCTAAAATTACTACTGTCAGTCACTCTTTAAATTTTAGGAATTGTAATTTCCTGATTCCAAACACTGTATGCACAGTGAAAGACCATTAGCACGGATGTTCCCTTTAGCCGCTGCCTCCTATAGTTACTGGACCAGATAGATCAGCCCACCTCCCACAAGCTATCACAAAGGGAGGACATTTCCAAGGATCCTCTTTCAGAAATGTCTGATGATTTAATCCCAACCAGAATAGCTGGGTTTGCTCCCCAAGTGGCTCCTCCAAATATGGATTCCTAAGGAGGTGAAGACCATCTGCAAGGAGGCCCGGCATCTCTGCACCAGGATTCCACTGGTATTGTGCTAACAAGGCTTCCTTCTACCCATAGCTGCCTCTGGGATGCTGTGGGAGAGGAAGCTGCTTGATGGAGAAAATAATATAGCCCTACTTGTATTATAGATAATGTGGAAGCAAAGAATGGACAGTAAGTGGACAACTATTATCCCCACTTACCAATGAGCAAGCAGACAAAAAAGTAAAATGGACTCAATCTCCTGACCCTTAATCTCTATTAATTTTGGATTGTTCTACCCATCATGTATATGATGTTCTGAAAAGCCTTAACACAACGACATTTTCTATAGCACAGGTCCAGGGTTTTCAGGGTTTTCAATGGCTTTTTGACAAACTGAACTCCAAACACAGCAAGCACACACACACATACAAGTTGGAGAAACAAATTACAAAAGTTATCTGGAGCAATTGGAACAGTGAGAGTTGCAGACAAGTTGACATTTAGAATTAATAATGTAAAGGAAAAACATTACCAATATAAAACTGCAGGGGAAGGGACATAATCCAGCTGCAGCATCCACATTATATTAAAGCTTAATACTGCCTGAATACATGATGGGAAGCAGTCTATCAGGTGGGGAGAAATCTTTCATTTAAGAAGTGATCCGCTAAGTTAAAATAGGAGACCCTCTTTATTAAATAGTACATTATTGCAAAGTTGAAGTGGGAAACATTTCCTACAATATTGCCAGTACTCCTACTTCTCCTACTCCAGGGGTCGGCAACCTTTCAGACGTGGTGTGCCGAGTCTTCACTTATTCACTTTAACTTAAGGTTTCGCGTGCCGGTAATACATTTTAACGTTTTTTTAGAAGGTCTCTCTTTATAAGTCTATATTATATAACTAAATTATTGTTGTATGTAAAGTAAACAAGGTTTTCAAAATGTTTAAGAAGCTTCATTTAAAATTAAATTAAAATGCTGATCTTATGCCACCGGCCCACTCAGCCCGCTGCCGGCCTGGGGTTCCGTTCACCTAGTTCGGCAGCTGGCTGAGCGGGGCCTGCGGGACCTCGGCTGGCGAGGGGCCGGCAGCTGGGACCCCAGACCGGGGGTGCAGGTAGGAATGTGTGTGTGTGTGTGTGTGTGTGTGCAGGAGCGCCCGTTTGGTGCTCAGGGTGGGGATGGGGATGTGGGGGGCGCAAGAGTCTGGGCATGGGGTGTGGGGGGGCTGGGTATGTGTGAGGGTGCAGGGATCAGGGCAGAGGACTGGGAGGGTGTGGGGGGGATTCAGGGGTCAGGGCAGAGGGCTGGGTGTGTGTGTGTGGGGGGGGTCAGGGCAGAGGGCTGGGGTGCTCGGCTCGTGGGGGTGCTCATGGCAGGGGGCTAGAGGGGATATGCCCTGTTCCCACCCCTTTCCCCAGGGCCCCGTCCCCACCTCTTCTCTGCCTCCTCCCCAGAGCAGCGAGCACACTGCGGCTCGGCTCGGCTCCCCTCCCCCTCGCAAGGGCGATCAGCTGATCGGCGGCAGGGAGAGGGAGAGGGAGGGGGAGGGGGAGGGGCAGGAAAGCACCACGCTGGGGGAAGAAGTGGGGGAGGGGGAGCTTGGCTGCCAATATGAGCAAGCTTCTGCCTCCTGCTCCCACAGGAGAAATCAGTGGGCGGGGGG